CCCTAGCACTCCAATCCCCATTTACGTTCCGTGTTGCCGTCTTCCTTTCACAGGTAACCCCCAGAGTTAAGATAACGGTTGTTGGAAAAGAAAGTGGGCTTTGGAATTCACCATCATTTCTAATCCTGACTCTGCTGCTTACTAGTTATGTGCCTTTGGTAAAAACATCATGAAGTAATAAAACCTTTGTGAACCTCAGTTTTCTCATCTGTAAAATGAGAATGCTGGCAGTCCCTCCTCTGCAGAGATGTCATGAGAATTACTTAGGCCAGTGTACACCCACGTGGTGTTAATGGCTTCACAAGTTGGTTTCTTTTCCCTCTTCATTCAAAATAAGGACCTCGTGAAGTACAGCCACCATGGCAGCTTCCTCTACAGGAGAGCAATACTAGAGAATGCTGCTCTTTCTTCACAAACCCAAGTTTCCTGTCTTCAATGTCCAGTCTTGGTTGGAGGTCACTTCGATGTGCCAGGGACAGAAAAAGATGTTCATAGGAAACTCGAGACCTTGTCTGAGTTGCAAGTTAACTACAAAGAAGGAAAGCAAGATTTATTTTCAACAAGTTGGAAAAAAAAAAATAAGCTAACAGTGGGATGACTGCAGCACAGGCTAAAATATCGTCAAGGTGAAGCACTAAGAGGAAGGAAACATCCTCAGAAAAGTGCTGTTCATGAGAAATCATTTGTGTTGCTTTCTAAAATGCGAAATTGCCTCCTGAAATATGTTTCCTACAATTCCTCCCGGAGAGAGCCTCCTCTTGTTGTTCGACTAGATAAGATTCTTTTGTAGGACTAATATCGTGTTTTTAAAACACTGTTGGTTGCTATGGCGACCTGATTGCGTGTGATAAAAAGAGCACGTATCCTTTCACTGGGCTGTTACATGACTTCCCGCAGAATTTGGAAGCTTTCTCAGCATACTGTTGGCTTTGCTGGCAGAATCTTGGCAGTGGTGTGCTTTCTGTTTGCCTCTGCTGCATTCTTCTGTAGCTTTGCTGAGGACAGGCTGCATCACCTGAGACTCTGTTGCTACTGCCCTGGAAAGTTAAGGGAGAGATAGAAAAGATACAGCCAAGATGGGAAACAGCAGTAACCATCACAAAGAGGCTTACCAGAGCAGCTGGGGTGGAGGTGGGAGGAAAAGCAGGTTTTCTGGGGGCAGGCTGGAATGGTGATAGTGACACTCCAAGGCAGACTGAAAAACACAGCCCCTGGGCAGAAAGGTTCATAGTGTCACCCAATGCACAGCCTCGATGTGAAAACCTAGAGACCTGATTCTCAGCCTGGTTCAAACCCTGTCTTCCCCTGGGGACTTGGAGAACAAGGTTGCTAATGTCTCTGAGCCTCATTTTCTTCTGAAACGTAAAGATAATTCCCCAAGTCCCTTCTCCAATCTTAATCATCTGTTATGGTAGGATCCTGAGTTAGACCAGGACTGCTGAAAGTATGATGCCAAGACTTGATGGATAACTAAAATCCCTAGGTCTTGTCTCCAATCTTATAAATGAGAAGCTCTGGGTCTGAGGCACCTCAATCCTCATTTTTTTCTAAATGCTCCAAATAATTACCAAACACAATAAATACAAGAATACCTATAATAGAGTGTACCCAGGAAAGCAAAGATTTCCAAGAAGGGTCTGAATGTTGGACTTCTGACCATATAGACCAGAGTGGGTTGAATTCTTCTAAGAAAAACATTTGGAAAACTAATAGCTGCCCCCTCTTTGTTGCCCCCAACAACACTAAGTAGCAGTCCCACACATGCCCAGGAATGGGAACAGGAGAGGCAGAGTGTTAGAATTGAAAAAGCAGTCATTCTCAGGTTGTTCCTGCCCAGAAACTTCTGCGGAAGGTCTCCAGCACGTTTTATTCACACCACATTAGAGGTATTAACTTTCCTGCTGATAGGGTTGTCAGATCAAACATAAAGCATCCTGTTTTTGGGGTTTGTGGCTTTTTGTTTGGTGGGGGGTTGGCTGAATCTGGCAAATCTACCTATAAACTCCTGTCCCAGCCTGCAGCCAAAGTCACATCAAGGAAAAAGGAAAAAACCTTTCCTCTCTCTCCATTAATAGAATGTGTCATCCTTCTGGTGTGAACAGAAAAAGTTGGCCTAAGATAAGACAAAATAAAGAATAAATAAAACAAGGACCCCAGGGCAGCAGGTGCAAAAGAGAAGTGAGGCAATGGGAATAACTTTCCAGAGAAAGCCATTTTCTCTTTTGCTTTGAGACCTGCCAAAACAACGACTTAAATGTATAACTTCTTAAGTTTTTTAGCTGGCTTTGCTCCAATTAACAGCACAGTGACATCAACATTTTGCAAGTTCTGTCCCAAGTAAGTTGTGTATCAACTGTGAGGGTGGAAGAAGGCTCAGACACAGTATAAAAATATAGTCTGTTCTAGCAACAACCTACGGTTTAAAAAAGAAAGGCAGTAACGACGAGACTCATCTCCTTTCCCCTCTCAAAAGAAAAAAAAAAGAAGAAGAAATTATTGGAAGGCTGGATTGAGATAAAAGTGAAATTTTTGAAGCAGGGCAGCCAGCTGGAGCTCACACTCCAGAGTCTTCAAGGTTGAAGCCAAGTGATAGACTGACCCACACACAATTCTTCTGGTCAAATGGGAAAGAGATTAGACTGAGACCAAGAAAACATGGAAGGCAGTTGTCCTTTCATAGTCCCAGATGTCCTAGCTTCCCAACTTTTCAATATGTCGACTTGAGCGTCTTCTGGATGCCTGAAGCTGTGTTGTTTCCTATTTTGGAGACGTTCCCACTGGAGCTAGGGAGAAAAGACATGCACACTTGAAATTATTAGAGATGAAACCAAGTATAGCTGTGAAACAGAAGGGGAGAGATCAACGTGGGCTTGACGTGTCAGCAAATCTGATGCTGGATGAAGAATTTGAAATGAATCTTTTTGGATGTGAAAATGAGGGCTAAAGATATTTGGGGGTGAGAAATAGGGAAATAAGAAGTAGCAGAAAGGAGAGTATCATGTTGGAAGAAGGGAGGGGAGCAGAGGTATGTTCCGGGAGATGCTGGAGTAGGGGCTGATCCAGGCAGCGCTGGTAGCTCCAGCATGTTCCCTTTGTCATCCACATTCCTACCTGGGAGCAGTGGTTCAAGGGAAAAGTGTTATGGTACCCAGCCTTCCTCTCCATGGTGAACCAAGCCCTATTGAGATGAGTGGAGTCTTTGGGCTTCCCCAGGACCCTGATGCCAGAGTTGGAAATTGTGATGACGTTTGACATGCCATGAAAAAGTTGGTCCTCTGATTTGGGGGCAATGAATCTCTCTGATTATTGCAGGTAAAGGATCTATCCTCAGAAAAAAAAAATGGGGATCAGAAGAGGCTTTCATTTGATGCCCAAAAACCTCTATATTTTCTATCTCCCCTTCCAGTGGAAGCCCAGGTCCCAGTCTTTCTTGCCCTTTTGCTCTGCCTCAAAGGAAACTTTTTTGAGTTAAGGAAGATTTTTTTTAAGCTAATACTGAATAGAGAGGGTGATGCTTAACTCAATAGCTAATGGCAGAATTTCAGGTATTAAGCTTATATAAAGTAGTCCATGGTCTAATGTTGTCTGAAAGATACCTGAGAGGTCCTTCATCTAAGGCCCTTTGTCATTTAAATTTGCCATCAAAGATGGAAAAGAATTTTCTCTCTAAAGACATTTAAAGAAGTAGAAATAGTATCACTCTCTCCACTGGGGCTTCTAAATTGTGTGTTTCTCCATGGCTTCCAATCAAAGCCTAAGAGGGCAAGAAGTACAGTCTTTGACCTAGTAGGAGCTCTTTCTAGGTAATTGTGACTACATATTTTGAAAGACAAATTCATTTTTATTTTTAAAATCTTTGTGAAATTCTCATATGTGCTGTCCCATTTGTTTGTTAGCACTTGCTGAAAAAAGAGAGAGAGATAGAGCGCGCTCTGGGTAGCAAGAGGGTGAGGGGGCTGCCTGCACAGTGATTGTCAAAATTTGATGAGTATAAGAAGCACTGGGGAGCTTGCTGGGAGAGCACACTCCTGGTCCTATCACCCAAAGCTTCTGATTCAATGCATCTGAGGTTAAGCACTTGAATTAACATTTTTACTAAGTGACCCAGTTGATTCAGTTACAGGTGGTCCCTGGCCACACTGACAATCATTTCACAAGACAATAACAGGATATAGAGGTCAAGAATAAGAAACCATGAGAGGAAACCAAGCAGACTGAGGCCACATATTGGTTAACCAAGAATCACAGAGTGCTCAGTGGGTCAGGCCCCCGTCTGCCAGCTGATAGCAAAACACGGGACCACAGGTATGTTTTCCCCACATTTGTGAAATAGTCCATTTGGAAGCCACAAGAAAAAGCTCCATTTACTTTGGAAGCAGATCAAAATGGCTGCGAGGAACACAATAGACAACAGAGGAGTTGCCATGGCAACCGTAGGAGCCACTCTGAGGAAGTCGTGCGTGGGCAAGAAAGGGGAGATGGAGAACTTATGCTAAAGAGAATGCTGTGTGACTTATAAACGCTGCTGTATCTGCACTAACCCCTTTGTATCTCAAATAGTTGTAAAGAAACCAAACGGACAGAGGAGGAGTTCCTTCCAAAAATGGCTTGCAGATAATGGCTGATGGATAGCTGACTCATGAAGCATTATTTGCCTTTTTATCAATTTGTTCCCAATATTCCTAATAATGGAGACTTCACTGACAGCTGAATGGATCAATTAAAAACAAACTCAAACAGGGCATCTGGGTGGCTCAGTTTGTTGAGCGTCTGACTTCGGCCCTGGTCATGATCTCACAGTTCGTGAGTTCCAGCCCCACGTCGAGCTCTGTGCTGACGGCTCAGAGCCTGGAGCCTGCTTCAGATTCTGTGTCTCCCTCTCTCTCTGCACCTCCCATGCTCATGCTTGCACGCTCTCTCTCTCTCAAAAATAAAAACATTAAAAAAAACCCTGAAACACAATATTCAAATCTAAGGAAGATAAAGACAACTCTGGAAAATGACCACCACAGATTTTTATTTAATTAAAAATATTATACATGTTGTTGCATTTTCATGGAAAATAATGAGTTAAAAAACACCAACAGTGTTAGTTTTTAGAAACTTTCATCACCCCGTTCTGCCACCTGCTGCTTTTTTCTGTCCATGGCATGAACCATGTGTTAGGAATTGGGGCCCTTGTGAAACTAGAGCTTCCTTGAAGTTCATACCTACAAGACCCCTGGAGTGAGCCATTTTCTTGAGGTTGGTGTTCTATTGAGTTACATCAGATACACCAGTCTGGACTCCCTTGCAAACCTTTGAAAGGAGCTAACATAAAAGCCCAAAGCACATGTCAACACCAATTCAGCTCAATGTGTCTATAAGAATCAGTTATGACCTCATCCAGTTTCCAAGCCAGTTACCAAGTGACTTTGTATTCTACCTGGTGTATTAGTGTCCTGAGCCCCTCCATAAAACTTTCCCTGAACCCATGGTGGGAAGACACTGCCATATAGTGTTTATATTAAAACCATCAGCAAATACACAAAAGCACATGTGGCCCCCATGCACAATACTATCAAATAAAAAAAAAATACATATTGGTACAATACAACCTTTGGAATCACTGGCTAAAATATAGCCACGTGAGTAGTTTTAACGTCTTCATGTAATTCCACATTTAAGAAAAATAACAGCACAAAACTTTAACTTGAAAACATCACTTCAGCTATAAACTTCTCATGTGTAAATACAAAGTGTGTACAATATCATCCTCTCCCTAACTCTCTTCCTTTGTATTCTTTGGACAGCACCACCCCCTAACCCATATCCTTCACCTACAACATAAGACTGCATCCCTATATTGCTCCCGAGTGATGCTTTTACTAAAATTGGATCTGATGTGACAGAAACATCCTGGCTCTGTTTTCCTGCACCTTTGCTTCAAATTGTAGTACACTTCATCTGGATTTTGCATCCAGCTTTATATTAAAGAGAGATGAATCCCCCCCCAAAATACACAAATAAGCAACATAGCTGGATAGCAAAAAGGTAGAATTGCCTCAGCTCTTAGAAATTGGACAATGTTCTTCCTTCTTCATAACGGTGTGTCAATTGATGGGAATAAAATAAGGCTGAAATTGCTTTTCACATTCTGGCTCTGTTGGGGGCATTTTCACATAGACCCCTGTAGTAAGAGGGCTTCTTTTCTTTAGCTGCCAAATGCAAAAAAGAAACAGTAATTATTATTGAGAAATACAGAAGCCATTTCTAGACATAATAGGACTCACCAAATACTGGGTCCCTACCCTGTTGAAAAATGAATGTTCACCACATACAGAATTATAAGCCCCAGAAGATTTTCTTGATTCAGCTATTACAACTCACTTTAGGTAAATAACTCTGTGCTATTGATGTAAAATGGCAATCATTTTCCCTGACTGCAAGAGAGGAGTAAGAGACTTTGAGAAAGCTTTAAAAAGGACACCCAAAATGCCTATGGTGATCGACCACATCTTATCTGTGAGGGGAGGAGCTTGATAAGATAATAAACTTCAGTTACTCTGTTCAAGAGCTGTATTTCTCATATCCACTCCTCATATACTCTTTATAACTTTTTGCCCACTTTAGTGCCCATTTTTTATCACCTCCGTAAATTGAGATTCTGTGTCCATGTGGCAGTTTCTAGAAAATGAGGTAAGAAGAATCTACAGCAATTGAACAGGTTGAGTAGAGGATCTTGGAATCCAGTGAGGGGCAAGGGGAGGGAGAGAAGGAGAGGGAGGGGAAGACAGGAAGCCAGGGAGAGAAAGAGAAGCAGGGAAGAAGTTTGTGTTGACAAAAGCAAGCCATAGACAGAGGTAGATGAAAGGAACCACCAAAAAGAAATCCCGATAGGAGGCCTGATTCCATATTTCCATCTCTTCCACCAACACTGCAATAAATAAAACCTTGTATTCTCATTCACTGGGCTAGAGGGGAGGGCAAGACTCTCCATTTGAGCAGACTGGATAACAGGGAGCCCTGGACAGGTATTGGGTGGACAGCTACAGCTTGGACAAGGAAGGCACAAGCAGGGTGGCACCAAGGGATGGCTTCCAGGTGAAGTGGAGTGACATGAAGGGGGAGACTAAAATCCATCCAGTGGTCTTCTATAGCAGCATTTTGTCCAACTTAATCTTACATTTCAGGGTTTTTAAGTACAATTGTCTTGAAGATAAAGTGCAAAACAGCTGCCCCGTGTTGTTCAAATGGTTACTCAAACTGAAACCCTGTTCAGAAGCACACAAACATTCAATGTCAAACACACTCATCTAAAATGTTAGTCATCCTGAAACCTCAAAGGCCAATGCCAAGGGTTCTAGCGTGTTCTTTACCACTGCCCTTCCTTTACCACTGTTCTGCATTTATTGCTTCATCTCCAGAAAACTGAACTCAACAGCATCATTCGGTCAGTTGCTATCACTGGAGGCATCCCCACCAGAAGTGTTGTGTTGTCAGCATTGCACTCACCATTTTGCTCAAAGAAACAGCTGTGATAAGGAAGCTATAAAAAAACAATCCTGAACTGACTGCTGCGAGGATCCAGAGAAGGAAGTCAGAATCTGGGCAAGGTTCAGGATCTGCAACAGAAGACAAAGCACAGCTTCCCTGAGACTCTCTTTAAACTTAAGGGCCCTACTCCCCCCCCCCCCCCATTAGTGAAAAAAAGAGCTTCCAGACCTTGGTGTCCACCCCTAAGTAAGTCTGACTGCTGGGGGCCACTTCTACAGGAATGTCCTATCAAAGACCCAAAGTCAAATTTCACAGTGCTTATCACTCCAGAGTAAGTGCCCCAACCTCCAGTAGAAAAAAACACTATCCCCAACCCATTTTAGTTTTAGTCAGAACACTGTTTGGGTCACCACCCATTAACCAGACTCCCATGCAGTATGCCAAAGAACTCTTAAGGAGAATTTCCATAATCCTAAAAATGAACCACCTGAAGTTGAAGAACAAAACTGTTTTCATGCAAAGAAGACAGCAATGCAAAAGGTGTAAGCTTAGTGATAAGGTTTTGCTCACCGATGACATAAATCTGGGTTCCATTGCCCATGCCTGCATAGTAGGGTGGTGGGTACATGAGCTCCACCTTGCAGATGTAGAGTCCCGTGTCCATGGCCCTCAACCCTTGGATGGTGAGGTTCACTTTGTTTCCGCTGGAGATGCCAGTGCAGGTGGAATCATCTAGGAAGGCCAACTCATTCTCCACTGTGTATGTCGCAGCACAGACTTCAGTCATCTGGCTGCCAGTCTGCCTCAGCACAGTCACTCGGACTTCGGCGGCATTGCCTGAAGACCCATATTCACACACGAAGCTGGCGACACCTCGGCTGCTGGCCAGCACCACTGCAGGCTGGGCCACATGCATCCCTAGCAAGGGAAAATTAGAGGGAACTCAGTGAACTCCTGCTCACCCACGACCAGGCTCAGGCAAAATCTCTGGCTGAGGGAAGTGGATCTTTGATGGACACTCTCCAGCTTCACCTTCCAGTCCTTCCCTCCCTTCAGCCAATACTCTTCATCCCTTCCCTTCTCTCCCCATCCATCCCCTCCATCACTCAGCTGACTTCCAGCCCATCTCCATGAAGGTGTTTCCTTAGAGAACAGAGTTTCTTGAAGGCAGTTGGTTGTAGCAGGAAGAACATTGATGTGACAAACTGAAGGCCAGGCCCTACCATGAAATATACTTGATTTGGGGTGAGTCATGCCTCCCCTGTAGCCTTCATTTTCCTTCACATGTACTAAGAGAGGATTAGGTCAGATGAGAACAGAGTGCCTTCCACCTCTGATATTCTATGGTTATCACAGAACTACAGGAACTTTAATGAGCAGTAGGGGAAATTTTGGAGGTTGAGGTACAGAATTTCACCTTACCTCTCAATGCATACGTCACAAACCTCTGCCTATATTTACCTGGCCAGAGAGGCTGAGCCCCAGGTCACTGCACCGGATGTCACCTTTCCCAGCATTATTATCAGAAGGAGGGACGCTGCTAGATGAAGGAAGCCACAGAGCAGAGGGCACCGGGTCGTTTCCTCTCTAGGTTGAGGCAACCCTACTATTAACTTCTGTGGGCTTCCCCTGCCGCCACCACCACCTCTTCCGCCACTCTCTCCTCCACTTGAACACTCCCATGCTCCTTTGTTCTTCCTCCCTCTGGCTTCTACAGGATAAAGGAAGCCAGCTCTCCATTCAAAAAGTCTTGCATCCTCTAAAAAAACTTTAGCTTCATGTCAAACTACCTTCCTGCAACTAACTCAGCCCCTCTCCAGTCGATCATATAAGTGACACTCAACACTTGGATGAACCATGCCACTAATTAATTCTGCTCAAACACTTTGATGCCTTGCATACCATTGACTGCAAAAACAAATGAAATAAGTGGCATTTATGTCCTCTATGATCTAATCCCAACCTATCACTCCAGTCTGAGTTTCCAGGACACCTCTTCCTATGGATAAATGACTCTATAGAAATCGCTCTATCACTAGTCCTTTCTCCCAAGTACCTGAACTGGACAACGTCTGTCCTCACAAGAGAGAACAACATGGTAGCAGCCCTTGCCAGAATTAATCCAGCAGCCCTGGCTGGCTAGATAACAGTCTTCTTCCCCAACCCTCATCTCAGTCTATCAGAGCATCCCCTGAGCATCCTCTGAGCATCTTTTGCACTGTTATAAATCCGTCACAGTATTTAATCAAGTTCTATCCCATATTAAAGTTTTTTTGCGCACTAATTTGCAGCTTCCGCCTTTGGCTTATAACTCCTAGGAGCGGCCATTATAATCTGCCCATATGAGCACCCAATAATCTTTGTTGTATTGATGCTAAGCCTAAAGACCAAGTTTCCTGCCCTCCCCCCAACCCCCAGGCAAATTCCCAATTATCACCAGTAAATCTGGTCACACTCGATTTTTCAGCGGGAGAATCTCAGTAACAGGTGGAGATAAATTTTCTACAAAGTAAAGGTAATTACTTCTAAGAGTATTTAATCTTTACATGTTCAAAACATGTAGAATAAGAAAATGTATATAAATATTTCTTATAATATTATTGGTAATAATTTAATTATGGAATACCTTTAAGCATCCAAGATATATCGTACAAACCACATGGTTTCTTAACTGATATGGTCTAGAGAGAGAGAAGGTTGAAATTCAGTGAGAATGCTCATCATTTTATATGTAGCAAACCTAGAATCAACCTGTAAAGAGCTTTATTTCATCTGAAAACTGGGGAATCTGCATCTGAAATCCACAGATAGGTCAGGTGGCAATTAAGTATCTTAGGCTAAACAGACTGATGGTGTTCTTTCTTCTCTTCTTCCTTTTATTTCTTTCTCTCTCTCTCTCTCTCTCTCTCTCTCTCTCTCTCTCTCTGTGTGTGTGTGTGTGTGTGTGTGTGTGTTATGGTTTCAAACTGCTTTCATTTTTTAAATAATTAGCTAACTAGTTTATAGAATTGACTGAAGACCTTAAGACTTTGAATTGAGTAAAGAAGGCTTAAATTTTAAATAAGCCGATTCATTTATAAAAGTGAGCTCGAGGATCTTAAAATCTCAAATCGGGTAGGAAAGAAACTTGATATGTTTTGCTTAAATCAATGTTTTTGAAAAAGGAAAATCTTGAGCTCACCCTGATTCCAAGCTCAAATATATTAAGGACTGTGGAGATCTTTCCTCTTAACTCACTTAACTTTACAGTAATTTCTTCCAATCATACAGAAGTGTATGAAATTGCTTGTCTCCCAAACCAACTCAGATGTATCTATTAAGCTCCTAGTCAGTGCCTGGGACTCTGCTATGAGCTGTATCTCTGCTCATTTGCTGCTGCCAGCTGTCCCCTTTGCTGTCTTGGAATACAGAGTTATCCAAGCCAGGAGTTTGGAGTTTTACCTTTAGCTTCTGGCTTTGTTATAAATCACTGCCCTTGACTGCTGAAAGAAATGAAACCCAAGTGGGAGAAACACCTCCTCCACCTTCATGCTCCAAAAGCCTCACTCACCTTTGGAGAAGACGGGGATAAAGAGAAGAGAAAACAGAGCAGTGCAGGGCCAGGTCCTAGAAGCCAGGTCCAGCTGAGCCCCATGCCTCCGGAATCCAAAGCAAGCCATGGCTTTATGGGAGCAGTGTTCAGGTCTTCAGGAAGCAGAGTGAAACCTTTCAGGATCCTGAAGCTTTGAAATGTGTTTGAACCCACACAGAATCAAGGACTTTATATAGTTGGCTTTGATCCCAGGTATGTACTATACATGTGCACACACAAGAGGCACCTGAATAGAAAGCCTTTTTGTTTTGGTTTTACGAGAAAGGAAGTCGTGGGTTTAGCTGTTACGTCGAAAAGATAACCTCAAACACTCAAAGTAAAACTGAACAAAACAAGCCAATCCATGGATGGAAAATGCACTCAATTTGAAACTGAAGCTTCTTGCTCACTTTGAGGATAAGTGGAGACTTGGAGAATTTCCTGGAGTGCAGGAGTCTCCCTAAGTCCCAATTATGTCCAATTATCTAGGCATCTTTTACCGCCCAATTCACTTCATTCACATCTCCAAAACTATGAAGCTGCTGGTTCTGAGCCCTTGACCCAATGACAGCAGTAGTCTGTAGACATTAGTAATAAAAGCTCTGTATTCACCATCTCTGGCAAGTTTACAAATAAGACTTTATTTCTCCAAGCTCCATTGAGCATTTTGTTGAGAGAAAATACCAAAATCATAAGAAATGAATGATTTTGCTTCTGGTTTGCAAATTAGGAAAGAATTCGGGTACTCTTGAAAGCCTTAACAAAGACAAAATAGAGTTGGAGACATTCCAGCAAACATCAGCCAAAATGATCCAAGAGATTCTTCCATAAGAAGATGGACATTTTTTTTCTAAAGAGAATTTTTCAAGTATAAAATCCAAGAACTAAGGTTAAATATGACTGAAGTTCCTAAATGTATGAAAGCTGTAAACAGTACAAGTGTTCATCCTATAAGAGAATACTAAACATTGGGGCCACCTACCTTAAAACTGATGAGTTTTCATATGCTTCAATAACAAAAGAGACATTTATTGAAAACCTATGCCAGTTATATGGTATGTGCATTTAGATTGAATGGGGACCAGACAAAACACAATTAATGCCTTAAGGGACTTCTAGGAGATTGACATGCAAACAGTTACAGCATGACTATGATGTTTGCCTATTCCAGCCCTTCACGGTTTCCCATTGTCCATACAGCTCAGCACAGCAGAGGAGGCTTTATAGAATATGGACCTAATGCCTCTGTGAGCCTGTCTTCCAGCATTCCCACACATGACCCCTTCTTCCGTTTGTCCTTTCTCCAAAACACCTCTTTTGGGTCTCATCAACTTTATGCAGTTCCAATGCCTATTTTCTCCCAATATCTAATCCTCCTTCTCGTCATCCAGGAGTTAACCAACATGACAGCCTCTCCTGAGGCCTTTTTCTGTACTCCCCTACCACCTTATATAAGCCTTCCAACCCAGCTGAGATGCCAACAGGCAAGAGCAACCTAATGGGCTTTTACTAGGGGCCAGATCCCAGATAGGTCACTGAAGATACAAAAGTGAAAATTGTATGTTCCTGCCCTTGAGAGGAGACACAGCAGAAGGAGTGGGAGATAGTTACACCCATGATCATGACAGAATAGAGAAATGCTGGAATTGAAGTATCTTGCACAGCCATAGAGGAGCAGAAGCCATTGGTTCAGCCTATGGAAGTCAGAAAGGGCTTCTCAGAGAAAGTAAAACCTGAGCTTATTATTGAGGACAAGAGCAAGGGCTGGGTATTGAAACAAAAAGAACAATATGTGCCAAGATTGGAAAGGGCATAAAGCACTCATTATGGCCAGAGGACAAGACAAGTATGGGAATCCACAGTAGGTGGAAGCTGATGCTCTTAGCACTGAGGGCGAATGCACCAAAAAAGAGCAAATTGGCATGTCTGAGTTCACATTTTAGGGGAATTCCCGCTTGCACGGGAGAAACGATGGGGAGGATAAGTTCAAGAAGAAGTAAGATGTAACCAGGAAAACCAAGAAGGAGGCTATTGCGATACCCCAGGCAACCAGGAATTGACAAACTTCTTCTGTAAAAAGACTGACAGTAAATATATTAGGCTTTGCAAGTCATATGGTCCCTGTTGCCACTACTCAACTCCACTGTTATAGGGTGAAAATAGCCACAGAAAATACATAAATGAAAGGGCATGGCTATGTTCCAATAAAACATTATTCACAATATCAATTATACCCTAATTAAAAAAAAAAAAAAAAGAACATTATTTACAAAAACAGGTGGAGGCTGGATTTGGCCTGCAGACCGTGGTTTGCCAATTCCTGGTGTAAAGTAAGGCAGCGACAGCAGTGGTGACAGGTTCCTAAGAGGACTATTCCAAAGGCAGTGAATGCATAGAGAACACCAAATTTATGGCTTAAGAGGTACTGTCGTAGTGTGACAGTTCAAATGTTTGTCAATTTTATCTCATTCAAGTCTCAAAACAAGGCAGGGATCATAGGTTTTCTCAATTTATAAAAGATAAAACCAAGGCACTGAGACTTGAATTTATCCAATCCCCCATAGTCAGTGGTAGAGCCAGGATCTGAAGTGGGAAATGCTGTTAATCACTGCACTAAAGAAAAGGTTTTAATGTCCAAGAGAACTAGATTTGAATCCTAGTATGAAGACTTGCTAGCCGTTGATCTGGGGCTCAGAGCCCAATGTCTTCCAGAAAATAGTGACTACAACTCAAGGCTGTTGTAAGGATTAAATGAGATAATGCATATAGCATGTATAAAAGAACTACTATGGTATCTGGACATTCAAGAAAGCTCATTGAGAAAACAGAGCTACAATTTCCGGGAATAGGGAACATAAGCAGATCAGGAAATGAAGATGATGAGTTCCATTTGGGTACATTGAGTTTATCTACAGAATGTAAGCGGGAAAGACTCCAAAATGATTGCTGACATGGTCTGGAGCACAGGAGAATGATCTGAGTTAAGACATTAGTTTAGGCAACCATGAAGCCACTGATGAAAATTTCACAGGCAAGGTTTCAGGTGAACGCTCTATAAACATTTGTTAAATGCATAGATAAAGGAGTGAAAACAGTTTAATATAAGAAGACATGAAGGTTGTAATAGGAACTTTCAAAGAAGCTTACCAGGTTCCCTAATTATACTTTCATGAAACTATTTCTGCAATAGCAAGAAAATTCGATTGTTTTGAAAAACACTAGATAAAAAGAATGTTGGTGAAAAAGATATATTCTTTTCCCATGTATCATCCCATAGATTATTTGATAATTACAAAGGGGAAAAGATAATGGATAAATCTAGCAGATACTGCTTTAACCAAGTGATCAAACTAAAGATCACCCATGATGAGACATTTTGACATCATGTGACTCCAGATATAACGCACTGAGAAGAACACGACACATCTGTAGTAGTATTGCCAAAATGGGTTAAATTGAATCTAATCGTGAAAAAACAATTAGGCAAATCCATGTTGGGATCATTCTGCAAAACAACTGGCCTTCAAAATGGGCCTTTGCTTCTTCAAAAATGTCAATATCGTGAAAGATTTTAAGAAGAAAAAACCTGAAAATTGTTCTAGATTAAAGGAGACTAAGGAGACATGATGATAAAATCCAATATGTGATCCTTGATTTAAAAATAATAACTACATAGCACGTTATAGAGACACTTGGGGAAATTTGAATTTAGACTATATTTGACAATAGGATTGTATTAATGTTAAATTTGCTGAGTGTGATCATTTAACTGGGGTTTTGTAGGGAAACATTCTGTTTTTATATGATGTTTGCTTAAGCATTCAGGGATAAAGTCTCAGGATGTCAGTAAGTAACCCTCAAATGGCTCAACAAAAATACAGGTGTATATTTGTGTTAGCCCAGAGAGAAAAAGAATAAAACAACAGAGACAAAATATTAACAATTGGTGAAGCTAAGTGAAGAGTATATCTGTGTGTTCATGATACATTCTTAAAAATTCTTTGCAAGACTGAAGTTTTTCAAAATAAAAAGCTGAACGCAAAAATTGTAGAACCACTATTACTATGGAAGGCACTATACCACAGATAAGCAGACTGAAATTTAGAGAAAGGAAGTGACTTGCCCAAGGTTATTCTCCACCCCCCTTCCTTACATCCATTTTCCACCTGGGAGGCAGACCCACAGGGACAACTGGGTTCCCTGGCAGATTGGCTTCTGGGAGGGACAAGCAGATGGGAAGCACCTGAAGAAGATCCAAAGGAAGGAGGGCAGAGATCAGGATATTTCTTCTCTCTCCCAGATTCAGGACCTTATCTCCGGCAGTAACAGTAGCTCTGCACAGCTACAGCTTTTGTTGAGTGCCGCCTGCCCCTTCTATGAGCCAATTCTCACTATTTCTTTCCCCGGTCCTTTCAGTATTGGGAGTGGACCACCTTCCAGGGTTGCTAGCATCTGTGTGCATTAACATCTTCTATTCCTGACCCTCCTAATACCTCTTAAAATAGTCATTTTGCTGAATCTCTCATTTGAACCACCTGTTTGCTGTAGAGTCCCTGGTTGATTTAGTCCCACAGCTGATAAGCAGCAAAAACTGGATTTAAATTCTGATCTCATTCCCATCCAGTAGTTACTTTTTCCCTATTATCTCATGTACAATAATAACATATTTATTACAGTCAATTCTGTGCAATTCTTCTATCTCACCTATATCAAATTCTATTTCCATGGCACTCACACATTCACCCTAGCATCTAACTAGCGCCTCCTTTGTACATAATAGGTGATAGAGAATTTCTGCATTTCAATTTAGGTCTCAACCCATTTTATGTTTCTGGCGTCTCATTTCCAGCTCTGGGAAAAGGGCTAGTAAGTAAGGATTCAATCAGGGGACTGACAGATACTAACAAGCCCAGCACAGTGGTGAACAGTATGACTGGAGTTCAAATCCTAACTCTACTTCATGATGTGTGATCTTAGGTGCAGTTTTTGAACTTCTTTGATCCTGAGCTTCCTCATCTGTAAAATAAATATAGCTAATTATGGTAGCTATCTTATAGGGTTATTGTGATGATTCAGTGAGACTATGCCAATAAAACGTTGAAAACTCTGCCTAGACTATAGTATGTGCTCAGTAAATGTTAGCTTATAGGTTAAATACGGAGAAAACTATGGGTTACAAACTTCAGCTG